GTACCAACCATACTTTTCTCCACACATGGCATGAATAACAGTCTTCATCCTAGTTTTGATTTAAACGTCAACTACAATGCTCGGGATAATGAAGATCAGGCGAAGCGGAAATAAAAGCATTAAGATATGGCCTACTTGAGTGAGGAAGCTATACAAATAATTTACTCAAAAACCCGCAGGGTAAACAATCAATCGCAGATATAGAATTACAGTCGCCTTCTCCCATTGTACTATTTGGCAAGGCTGCAAGGAGCTCATTTATCAGGCACAATCCAACCATCGACAAGCTTGCCCATTTTTTCCAACCGCTTTGGTCCAAAGTTAACCCCCTCAATGCGTGCAGCAGACTTGTCAGGCATTGTCACACTAACATCGATTAATCAGCATGTTCATTAACTAGGATCGCTAGCCGGGATATAATTACTGGTAAATAACACTGTTTGTACCGGCAGTAGCCTGTGGGGTGTTGAGGCGAGCCACCCGCCCTCCCAATTTGGCAATCTCAGAAATATACCTACGAACATGAAGCATTAGAACCACCAACAGAGCTATGTTAACGCTATTAAATACCTCTTCTCCCATTGCGTGACCACCTGCTTTAATTCGTTCTTCTGGAACAGCAGTCGCATAGCCTATAACGATTAGTAGTGTCCATGCATAGGTAGGTTGGATGAACCAACGTAGGTCTTCGGCATCTTGGAAAGGTTTGAGGATTTGCTGCAAAATTGACTCTCAATGACCGAATTCTGGGGTATCTGAAGATTCAAATGGAAATTTCCCTCGAGCTCAACGAATTTTATCGCTCAACAAATTGTGGGGCGGACACGTCAATCGATCACCTTCTATTGTGACGTGTCCAAAAAGATAAAGCAACTAGCAACGGAGTGCTATTCTGGACTCAGTATGTACATGGCTCAGAGCTATTATTCACCGGTAAACTGCCAGTGTCGATTTGCTATTGTTAAATGATCCTTACAAATCCAGGCCTTCTTATTGTCTTGAAAATGTAGATTTATCCCATGTTGTTGTTTCCCCCCATTGAGGAGTGGAACGCGATATTGAGACAAGCTCAAGTGTGGCCATGGAATCAATGCAGGCTCTCAGCTATCTAATATATTGAAAAAGGACGTGACCTTAGGCGTTGAGGTCGCAAATCCTAAATCCGCTTAAATCCGTCTCTCATGCGCTTATCACCACCGCTTTAGCGGTGTAGATCAGTTCTACGACTGGTTGCGTCGAAGGATAAGCCGCTAAATCCGATAGAGCTTAGAAGAGAAATCGGTGCGCAACCCCCGGAGGTTTTAAGAAGCATTTGATGAGGCTCTACACTCAGGTGGAGCTATGTGTAGGGTGAACATCATTTCTTTTTTGTCATTTTTGTGCGCAAAGCAAAAGGGCTACTACTGCATTTTATACGCCATATCCATACATCTCCATCATCATAGTCTAACACCGGATGCAGGTGAATAATTAGAGGAGACAGGAAACCCCAATAACAGCACAGCATCAAACTACCGCCAATAACATGAATTGAGTGCTCACTGTAAACTAATTGGGATTCTGCAAACCTCCATTGTGAAGTCTTCTCCCACAGCCATCTCGGATGTTACTTGTATAAGTCTCAGCTGGCATACTAACAACCCCTATCTCAATGTGAATGTTACCCCGGTTTTGATTACTCTGCCTCCAACTCCAAACATTAGCTGGAATCAGAGAGAAGAAAAAGTGTCAGGCGTGTGCCACGCTGTGGTATATCAATCTGTGGCCTTGACGTGCACGCTCCAAAGCATACTTTAGCCCTAAGATAAATGTGCAAAACTTTTATTATTATGCTGCGAGATATAGTCATCGCCCGGGTACATGTACCCGGATACGATACACTCGTTGCAGCATGGTCACGCAATGTCAACTTTTATTTCCCCTTTCCATATCTTCCGATTTACTCTTTTTCGATCTAGTACCAGTAAACTGGGTCGCCCCCCTGATGGAAGACTGAGTCGTCAATTCCTAGCCAGCTATACGAAATTGCCACCCGACGAGGTATGTGCTTTACATGGACGGCGACCGCACTTGAACGAGAGCATAATGCACTCAGAAGCTTATCTACAGGCTAAAGCAGCTAAGGGAGCAGCATGTAATCTATCTACGTATTCTTCAATTTTTCCCCACGTGGAATATTCCTTCGCGCTTAAGTGACACGTCTTTCCCGTAGCCACGTATGTACCATGTGAAGACACCTCATCCTATATCCATGGTCTGTATGCCCTATACATAAGGTTAGACCATATTACACTTTAGAGAAAGTCGAAACAATCGGTTATTGGTGGACACTCCCGGAAATCTGGACATATAGACCGTCAGATAGGGCGTATGTACCACCTAGCCGACTCGGGAGCATGTACCCGAGTGTGGAGACCTAAGCTTCCAAATTACTGAGGATGCGTAGCCTGCTGCCTCTTAGCCGAGAAGGGAAAAAAAAGAAGAAGAAAATAGGAAAATAAAGGGCCATAGAGTGACATATACCACCTTAAAAGGCCGTATGGAGGTTCACAGTCTCCCTTGCCAGACTGAGATATACGTTGTTTGCCTGATCTCTTATTGTCCTCGAACTATTAGAACGATCAATTAAAACATGTCGCCCAACTCCCGCAGCTGTCCACTGTGGAACAGATGCCCAGTGCCCAAGATATTGATTGAATTTGGCAACCCCAGGCGAAGATATATGACAGGTGAACGGATTGACGGAAAAGTGACAATTACTGTGGACTCTGAAACCAAGTTCAGTGAGGTCAATATCAGCCTAGAAGGTCCGCGTTCCTGTTTATTATTAGATCCAAGTGCCAGACTAATACTGACGTTGGGTCTTTGTAGGCTCATCGCGGGTGAACTTGTTGCAACCAATAACCACTCAGCGGGAAGCCGGTGCCTCTCATACATTTCTAACACTCGATCAACCTGTTGACGAAGTAAATTACCCGGCTTCGCGTGTTTTCAGACCAGGCAAAACCTACCAATTCCCGTACACATTCGTTGTTCCGAATCGGTTACCTTTGAAATCGTGCAGCCATAGAACAGCCGACACGAGTATTACACAGGCACACACAGAAGTCCCGCCCACTCTGCATTTGAGGAACTTGTCGCAAAGTCTATGCGAAATCTGCTACCTCATCCGTGTTACCGTGTGTGGACAGAATACAAGCAACAATGGAAAGCGGGAGACACTAGCTAGTCTTACGAAATCGTTTCACCTTGCCCCTGTTCATGAGGGATGGCTTTCCTTCAGCAGTCCTGAGAAGACCAACATGTATAGGTCTAGTATTGTGCAGGAAGTCCAAGGTCAATGGAAAAGACAGGCGCTGGGTCAACTCAAAGCCGTGGCATCTACAATACAGCCAATTCAGATTCCTTCACTAGGTCTACCAACCAACACCGTGGTTGCCCCTGTCGCGTTGCAGCTTCGCTTCGATCCTGTCAGAGACGCCCCGCCCCCAAGACTTGCAAAAATACACCCTACTCTCAAACAGTCGACTCTCTTCAGTACAAAACCGCAGGATGACTATCCGTGTCTCAATAAGATAATTGCTGACCAAATGTCGCGAGGGGCACACGTTCATGTCAGCACCCTTCCTTCGCAGACCATCTCATCCATCAGGTGGGCCAAGCATATGTTACCGCACTATTCGGGTTCTTCCGGCTTTGACCAGTCTTCGCAAGCCAGCTCTATTACGGAACCTGGACACTCTTCCACCTCCAGCGCTGGCTATTATTACACAGCATCGGTTATGATCCCAGTCAGCTTACCCAGCAACAGCGACCTTGCGCCCACATTTCATTCCTGCCTTGCCTCACGTACCTACGCTCTCGAGCTCCGTCTTTCGTACCGCATGCCTAATGCACCCGTCTTGCAACGAATGCCCACGCTAGAGGTACCTGTTAAGGTTATTGGTATGCGGACGCTGGATAAGAGCGGTGATAGCCTCCCGAGCTACAGCTCGATTACGCCAGAGAAGCCGTCACACTTGGATTCTCCGTCTACGCCATGCTATGTTCAACGAAAAGCGTGGAGTATAGCAGATCTAAAGAGTGCTCTGCAAGATGGCAATTGGTTTCCATCTCCTGAGTGGCACAAAGTATGCGCACTGCCCACGTATGATGATATTGTTGCACAATCAGCGAAGTGGCTATAGCGACTCCCGGTCAATACATGACTGTTTCTGAATGGCTGCTTATGTGAACGGTTGCAAAGTATCTGAACCTGCCTTGGGAACCAACGGAATTTACTTCAATGTGTCCCTCATATATATATGTGCATAATGGACATAAGCTACATCTCGAAAATAGGACCGGCTCTAAGTAATATAAGCATTTAACACGAAATGAGCCAACACATGCGCATCACATGTTCCTCGGTACCCGAAAAAGGCTGTATCTTTGCCCAAGTGCTTTATACTTTGTACTATGATCTGTCTACCACTCCCCTTTTTCTGGTTCATTCGATTACCTTCTATTGCAGTAGCCTTGCAGGTGACAAGTCCACTTCGCCACCTACACAAGGACTACGAGCCAAGACTCATCAATAAAGTCTTTTTGAGTGCTTACAGAACCATCACCGTGTGGTATATGATTTTAGGGTACAAGTATACTGAATCCGCCCCGGATTTTCATCACATCCGGGCCGGAAGTAGGGCACGTTCGCAGCGGGTTGCCGGGTTTCCACACTCCCGAGTCCCGGCCCGTGGACCCAACAGACGCTAAGCCATGCCTGGATGGCTGATATATAATCATTCTACTTGAAAGGTCTTGGATATACTAAACCGTGGTTTCAGAATCTACTTGGCGCGAAATTCACGGATCCTAAATTTTATGCTTAAAACCCTGGGACAGGTTCTCAAGCAACATGGGCTGCGCTCTTGCTCATTCCACTCTTACACGTCCTGCCTCGCATTACTCTCCTTACTTCAGATCCAAAGACCTACTAGCCAGCCGTTCACCAAGCAAAGATGAAGAACACCGCCCTTTATGCCAATGAGAATGGCGAGCTCGGCGCTCGCCGAGATTTGCCAGTCCCCCGACCCAGCGATGGGGAAATCCTGATTGAAGTCCTTTTCTCCGGTGTGAACCGTTCTGATATCACCTCGGTGAAGCTCCTGGGCTCTCGCTCTCGGGTCCTTGGCAACGACTTTTGTGGACGCGTTCTCGAGGTTTCGGATCTGGTAGACACCGCTTTCAAACCTGGTGATATTGTGGCCGGGTACACGATGGCGAATTTTGATCGCCCTCTCCGTTACGGGTCTCACCAATCGTACATCTCTATTCCACCGAAGAACATCTTTAAAGTGCCAGAGAATGTACCAACTGCTGATGCTGCGGGTCTGATGACTGTCGTTCAAACTGCGAACGATGCCCTTTTGAATCTGCGTCTGCCTCTGCCATCAATGGACCCTGGACCAACGGATGGAGTCATGGTAATCGCAGGTGGCGCCACGACATGTGGTATCGCGACTATCCAGCTTGCGCGTAATATCGGCATCAAATCTATCATAGCCACTGCTTCGCCGGGACGCCACGAGCTGCTCGAGAGCCTGGGTGCAACACGCTGTTTTGACTACAGGGGTGATAGTGTTGTGCAGGGCATCAGAGCGGCTGTAGAGGAAGCTGGTCGTGGACCGGTGTATGGTCTCGACGCAGCCGCTACGCCTGACGCTGCAAAAATACTCTTGGACGCCTTGGCAGACCGGGAAGATATCCATCTAGCATCTCTCTCCCCTTGGGCTGGAGATCGTTTCGAGTTTGTCCTCGGTGGTCGTGATTACGATGTCATTTTCCATCCTCCTGGCGCGCCAGAGCCATTTGTCATGCCTGCTAGACCAGCTGATGCGGCAAAAATGTGGGACAGTCTCATGTGGGTACTTCAGCACTATGGGAAGGAGTTTAAGCTGCCGGTTATTGAGGTCTTTGAGGGAGCTGCAGAGGACGCTCTGGGAGAGATACAGAAAGTGGCGGATCAGGGAAAGTTTGGAAAGCTTGTGTTGAAACATCCTTTGATATAATACGTACTTAGAAAGTGTGGATAAATCTATTTAGGTTGATGCTACAAGTTCTAAATTGAAAGCTTGCCGTTGGTAAATTGGTACTTTCATCTCGTTTAAGAATCAGTAGCACAACTTACTGAATCAGAGCTTTTTACAGAGACTTTCTGATCGACCCAAGGATCAAACGGGGCGAGGGTATGAGTAAGATCATGGATGCACGAAAGCATGGCGAGCATACCTGGGCACCTTTACGCCCTGATACATCTATTCATGGAGCAGTCAGGAGAGACACACAATAGTGCGAGGGGCTATATTGTGCTCGGAGCGTTGTACCGCATTATAGCGTTCACTGTTATGGCCTGGTTCATGGTGGTCATGAAAACGTACCTAATGGTATTTACGTGTACCAGTTGCAGAGTTGAATAGATGACTTTAAGTGGTGCCCAAATTTATTCACTTATAGCGCATATTTGCCATGAAAGATAAATCATTACAACATGAAACGATTCACCAGTTTTCCGCAATCTGGTTAATCCCACAGATCCCTTTTCCATGAGAGCGGGGAGCACAAAAAGGAGTTTTGTGCTTTGAGCCAAAGAACTATTACTTTCCTTTTTCAGGATTGTCCTTGGTGTTAATACGCCCACGCCTCACGATCACACCCAGGACCATTGACTTTGAGGCGAGGAAGTGTTGATCGGCACATTGACTGTGGGATTGGATACTATTGAGTGGCTCTGTTGTCAGCCTCACCAGGAAATCCCGGATAATTGCGAGACTCGCTCCGTTAGTGTCGAATGATAGTCTCTCTTGCGATGAGGATGCAGCATGTGCCAATGTATTAGCGCCGTAAGCAGAGGAGCTGTCCTCAGCAACCAGCTTTCTTGCGTCGTTGTTTCACAAGACCTATTGTTGGCTTAGGACCAGCTAATATTGTCAGATTTGGAAGATATGCCACGTATGTGTAACGGCAGTTGTGCTTCAGCATACAAGCCACACGTGGAGATGAAGAGAATAGAAAGCATTAAATCACCCAATTAAGCCATCGCCCAATCGGAGAAACTGTGCCTATCCTGCTCACAGGATATCAGCTTATCAATCAGTTTCAGCCTCTTCGTATCCAACGTACCCCTCTCTATCACGCAAGCCCTTTAGCCTCATTCGGGCTTAGCTGCATAAATGCCGGCATTTACAGTCTCCAATCCCGAGCAGACACACGCTCCCATCAACGCTAGTACACACAGCCTCGCCTGGGCGGCGGCTATTGACCACCCCAGAGAGGGCCATATAGGACCGTTTATCATGCAGGATTTCCTATCCTGGTATGCTACATCTCTGGCTGCGAAAAGTGAGGCCCAGTCGTATCGATTCGCCAAGCACTCAGCCTTGTGTCCACACCCTCTTTTTATGACTTTGGTCTATGAATATTCCAATAATATACTCGATGATATAGAGGGTTTGCAAAGTAGAACATATAAATAAAGCCGTATATACTCTTGATATCAGCATATGCAAACTAGCTTTTTCTAAATCCACCTGAAACTCCTCGATAGCAAGACTCACTTTAGCTTCCTTGCATCCTTTCGATTTTGTCCACTATGAGTCCATACAAGTCTTACAAAACCGGGGAAGGCTTCAACACCGCCCTAGGTGCCGGCTTGAACAGTACATGGTCTGGGGCAGATGCCGTCCATGGTATTGTCAATGCTGGGGTTAAGATCGAAGGTGCCGTTGCTGAGCACCAGGTAAATTTCTCTATTTTTTCCTACATAATTTATAAATCAGTGTGGCGGATGATTATGCTCTTTTGTAGTCCGCTGACTTAGACATAGTGGACCAAAGCGAGGGTCAACGAACAATTGCAGAGAGCTCAGTACCCGGATGGCAAGCCTAGGGTTGATCACTCGGCGCAGTACCAGGCTGCGAACCCTGTACGTATTTGTTATATGACATGAATTGTAAGGGCTAACCTGATTTCGATAGACACTGAGCAATCTTGGGAATGACCAGCAACTTTATAATCGTGTCAATGGGGTAAGTAATCCAGTTGTCTCATTATCCAGTATAGAACTACGGAAACTCATAATACTACTCTAGCAACGTTAGGAACGCGATTGAGTACCGGAGGACTGGATGTGCTGGAGATGTTAATCTGCTTGATTTCGGATAAGCATGTGGTCGAATTATATGGAGGATATTTTTTTACTCTTTGGTACGTTGGGCATAACTAGGATAACTGTCACATTGCATGTTATGGAATGCCACTATTTGTCTATCGAATCATCCCTTGAATGAGATCTTCGTCCCGGGGAACCCTAAAACCGGGGCGCCTCCACGTCTATTATTGCAGGTCACCAGAGTATTATATCTCGTCGGTTTGTTGTAAACAAATATTATCGGACACCATCATTTTATGCTCATCGTATCCCCCTCGTTAATACGGCTGCTGCCTCTAATCATCTCCCCTCCCCGCCATACGACGAATCGTCACGGGCCACAATGATACCGGGCTCGCGACAGTGAAATATGACACAAATTTCACCCCGCAGCACGCGACAGACCAGGGTCCTGTGATATCCTTTCTCTGGAGCATCACCGAGCATCCGGCGGAGGTGAATAGCGACGAATAAAACGTCGGTCTTTCCAGGGATACCGCCAAAGGGCTCGAGTATCTGTGCCATCGATGTACCTCCGAAATCGAAAGGGACCCTCCAGCACTCTATAACCCTTGAGTTTGCAATAATTCTGAAGGGACAGGCCATCCTCAGTCTTGATGATGATACACGGCTTCCTGTAGCGGAAGGTAGTGTGGTGGTACAGCAGGCGTCAATGCATGGTTGGGATAACGAGACTGATCAATGGGCGCGATTGATGGGCATTATGGTTCCCGCGCAGCCTCCAATAATTAATGGCAAGGAGTTTGAGGATCTCTGGCCTTTTCTAAAGCGAGAAACTGGGCATAGTCTATCCTTGAATGTCCATACCCTACAGTGCTGGAGCTCAGGTAGAGATCGAGCAAACAAGAGGCAAGCTGATTTTCCTGTCACTCCAATAGTTCACTATATCTGTCAAGAGTCTCTTTCAGAAGTGAATCAATTGATTCTTTTTGCTTTTCATTCTTTAACACAACATCTGGGCTATTCTGTGTTTAGGGATTCATCCTGTTGACAAGTCGCGTATTCCTGGCATTAGCTACTGTGCACAATTACCATGATAGCAATTCGTTAAGGATCTACCAAGTGTTTACGGATCAAGTTATAGATCCTTTTTTGAACCCTTCAAACTAGATCTAATATAGCTTTGTGGCGATCTGCTTGGCCATTTAACGTGATTCGGCGGTTTCCCTGCCAACCCATTGCCGATGCAAGGCGATCAGGCCCCGCTATAATACCCTCGCACTCAGTTAGATGAAGCATTGGACTCTGGTCCGTAAATGGTGGTGTAAATGCGTGGGGTAGACTTTTCCTTCCTGCGAAAAAAGGAATACATAATTTCTCTACTGCAACATGTCGAGGACTCGGGCGGCGCTTCTTGTATAGTTACCTCTTTCGCCGATAAAGTATACTGAACCGATGAATCATATTCCCGCCTTTGGTTAGCCGTCATACCGTTGTCCAGGGTGATGTATTGCCCCTCTTTTTTACGAAACTTTGAGAATCCCCCTGCATCAGAGCTCAACCTCCTGGTTGTCTCCCTCCTCGACTTTCCTGCAAACCCTGGGGATCATTGGTGGTCAGTACACATTTGATGACATACATCAATAGAGACATTTGTTGCTAACGTGGACCAGTTGCTTCATCTAATACTCTGATAATTCCACATTTGTAGAGGCGTCTAGTAATCCGGGGAACCGGTCACTGTTCTTTCTATCGCCATGGAGAAATACCAGAAGATCGAAAAGATCGGAGAAGGTATGCAGTTATGGGACCCGAACTCTATCAACACAAGGTTGTACGATCGGTCTGACCTTCATATTGATACTCAGGGACTTATGGTGTCGTCTACAAAGCTCGTGAGCTTGTTCACCCCAATCGGATCGTCGCTTTGAAGAAGGTCCGACTAGAGACCGACGACGAAGGCGTCCCTAGTACAACCATCCGTGAAATATCTTTATTGAAAGAGTTAAACCACCCTAATATCGTTAGATTGTTCAACATCCACACAGAGGGCTATAAGCTCTACCTTGTCTTTGAACATCTAGACCTCGATCTCAAGAAATATATGGACGCTCTTCCCATCAACGATGGCGGACGTGGTAGATCTCTCCCGAATGGCTTAAGTGTGGATCTCGGGTTAGGCGAAGCCATGATCAAAAAGTTCATGTCCCAGTTAATCGAAGGCATTTATTTCTGCCACAGTCGTCGGATTCTGCACCGTGATCTTAAGCCTCAAAATCTTCTGATCAATCGTGATGGCAGTCTAAAGTTAGCCGATTTTGGATTAGCAAGAGCTTTTGGTGTTCCTTTGAGAACCTATACGCACGAGGTATCATCTTCCTGTCTCTGAGCCCCATCACAAATTAATAACTAATCGTAATGCAGGTCGTCACCCTATGGTATCGCTCTCCGGAGATTCTTCTCGGTGGTCCCCAATATTCAACGGCAGTAGATATGTGGTCATGTGGCGCTATCTTCGCGGAGATGTGCATGCGCAAGCCCTTGTTTCCTGGGGATTCGGAGATCGATCAGATTTTCAAGATATTCCGGTACGGTGTCCTGACCACATGGAATTATTGTCGCAAGCTAATCTCATCTAATTTCTTATAGCTTACTTGGCACCCCCGATGAGGATTCTTGGCCAGGCGTTACTTCCTTCCCGGACTATAAGTCATCATTCCCCAAGTGGAAGCGCGACAAGAACAACGCTCTTATTCCTGGATTGGAAAAGAATGGGTTACGTCTTTTGGATGCTCTTCTTGAATTTGATCCGTCACAAAGGATGTCTGCCAAGCAGGCTCGCTCACAGGCCTACTTCCGGCATGGACGCTCAGCTCATAAAGAGTGATTTGTGGGAACTTGGTATCTGGTGAATAAGGCTGTGTATGCGGAGCTAATTGGGAGCCACCAGAATCAAGGCATGGACCATGTCGATCTCGGAAATTCTTCTTACTTAATCGATACATTTCTCTCTTGCATCTGCGAGTCTGTAAGTATCGATGTTATCAGGAAGGGAATATGAAATTAAAGGAGGGTTAAGACCGATGATGCCCAAATTAATGTTTCACTTATCTCAATTACGCCGTGCAGCTCGCAGAAATCTCCGTCTCTGTCAGTAGTGGGCTTAGGGTCTTTGTCGAGGAACTGACAGTGATTGTGGTTAGCTCTTGGTAACCTCGACAAATGTAAAGGGGCGACAAGCTTTACTCATAATTCAAGTAAGAATGCATGTAGAAATGCAGAAATGTTCTTGGGAAGAGCGAGGCATGCTAGAATCGGCCATGGCAGACTCCCATAGACTCAGCTCAGCCTATGAAGACACCTAATTCGATCCATGTCTCACTCTCTAGTCACTGTGCATTTGCCCCTTTCTAACGTGCTTGCCAATCATTGGGATATTGCTTCGTCTTCCTGCATATTCTGGTGTTAGCGTTCGCAGTTTACGGAAGGAATAGTCATCTCTTACCGTATATCTCGGGCACAGCCTTACTCGCCTCGTAGCTATGTTATAATTGACTAGAACACTTTTCCATACTCATAAGTATTCAGTAAGTATAGATAATCTATCAAGTCTTGACTCCTAAAGAACCATGATCAAGACCTCAGATAAGGCTCTGCCAGGCAGCAGCCCCGTATTTAGTCACATCAACCCACGTAGCTGCGCAATAGCAATGTTACTATGAAAAGAAGCCTGAGAATACCTAACTTATGACCTAACATCCTAACGCATAATATTAAAGCCTAGATATTAATTTAGATGTAAATCGTAATATAGGAAACCGTATATTATATTAAATCACGAGGGCAGTTTTCACCACACATCTTGCCTATGAATTACCCTAATAACCAAAAACGACTACAATAGATCCTTGCACTGGCCCTAGACGGAAGGCAATTCCCGAGATGAAAACGGGACAGTCAGTGTCGGGTGTCTTCCATTGGATCGATAGGTCATTTGGCCAAGAGTATCCCGCGGGAAAGCTGAATAAGGGTTTTGATCTTCTACCTCAGGTATCAATATAAACTAAACTCTAAATTAGAGTGTTTCGGAAGGAAATTTCTAACTAATTCTTTTTAGGTAAAGTACCGTTTCAAATACGGTGCCTTTCTCGAACACTGCCACTAAACACCTTCCATCAAGAACCATTCGAGGCTGAAAAAAATAATATCCCGGTAAACACTCCGTGTTCTGGGGAGAGGAGCCAGTTCCTTGTCTAAAATTCGAAAAACGATCTTGGATTCCGCTTAGTTAAGCATCGCTCTAGGAATATTTTCGTTCTAGCCACACGTGGGGCCCTTATCTGTGGCGTGGCGGGACCATGGCTCTTGAATCAGGGGAGTCTTGGCTGTTATCGTGAGGGTTACAGCGATGAGTATGCAAAACGGCTGAGGTGGAGTGAATACGGGATATGAGAGCAAAAATACATCACAAGGCTATAGACATCTGCCTTGATTCCTCGTATGAGCCCCCTGTTAGTAACAGATCTTTCCATTCGCCGTTCCAGGGTTCCGTCTGTGTACTTGGTAGCAGTCAGGACTCAATTATGGAGCCGGTGGGTCTGACATGGTTGTTGGTGCCTTCTTACGGCATCGATTGGCAGACGATCGGCACTACAATGGTGAAACATGGGACGACAACCTACGGACAGATCAATGGAACATGATGAAACGGATGGAGCTGGGTCGGTTCAGGGACAGCCTGACGGGCCGTTCAGAATTGATATAAAAGATCGACTTGCGGTCGCTGAGTCGATAGTCTTCTCGAAAACCAACGTCCTTCTTTCTACCTCCCATACATTCGTTATAAGCCCTGGTGGCTGTGAGTCATTATTTCTTAGTCAACCTTTAGCATCTACTTCTGTATTTATCAGCTTTTACCAATTTGTTCTTGCATCCCAGCGATCAACATGCGTTTCTTCCAGACCCTCGTTGCTCTCCCCCTTATTGCAGGCGCCATCGCCAGCCCTCTCGACGCACGCGCTACCCTCGAAAACTGCACCCCTGAGAGAAAGCAAATGATCGACAACGCACTTTCCCAGGCGGCAAAGATGGCCCAAGCCGGAGCGAACCTCATCCGCACCAATTCCGAATACTCGTCCAACCTATTCCAGAGCTTCTTCAAGA